GTTCAATTTGGGTCATCATGAAAACAACAGAACACAATCAGGAATGACTCAGCTCACATAAGAATTATATACACCTCATGACAGGGTTTCTTCATCCACTGAATAAATATTTGTTGGCACATAAAGTGCCTTAGGATGAGCACATCACCGATCTCACATTCTACTGAGAAGTTCAAACACTAAAAAAGAATTTAACTGCAATTACAGATTATTTTAAATTATACATTTTTAAAACATGAATGTTATGCCATGGGATAAGGACATTAATGTAAATTATTCCTTACTAAGAATTGGCAAACACATAAATCACCTTAGCCAAGTATGGCTAGTAAAACGTTCAATTTGGCTGCCTTGTGTATTGCCTAGATTTTTTATTTTCTTTTCTGGTTGCACTGAAAGGGTCACCTTTTCTTGGTGGTATGGGCTCACCCATCTAGGAGAGGGTTCTACCACTGAGCTATATCCCAAGCTCAATAGTCCCTTTCTCATATCAACTTTATCATGGTTCCTCTAACAAAAACATCTTGAACATCAGATTTTCAATGACAAATCTTATGAATTGATTTCAAAGGATGCTTCTTTTCCCTCAATTCTGTTCTGCAGAATGCCTGTCATTGTAATTTATTTCCACAAAGTGTTTCTTCAGTAGAAACATGGCCCACAGATGCTATATTTTCTATTGTTATTTTTCTGCAGCTCTTACCTCCCTCTTTAGTGCCTCTTTGATTACAGGCCTTCGTATTATTCCCCAGGTGTTATAAGGGTAGAGTTCTATGCTGCTGTGATGGTTATAGCATGCAAGGGTGACTTCCTGTCTGAACCCAATCCCATAATGCTGTTCGGCTCCAGTGTAGACACAGGGTCTCTACCAAAAGTCATCTCTGTCCACACCATACAATTTCCTGCTTAGCCCGGAAACTCATTGGCTTGACCTCACTGACTATATAAGTTTTAAATTTCTTAATTCATTTTTATATGAACTCTTTGAGAATAAGAATGATGTCATTTTTAAAAGTTAACAATTTAAGCCCACTTAAAGAATTTATCATTTAAAGTGTATTGGAATGCCTTCAGAGATAGTGGCAATGCTTTAATTTTTTTAAAAAAATGCTAACAGCTGGATGAGTAGCTTGTGTATACATGAGACCCTAGGCTCAATCCCCAGCCAGGGAAGGAAGAAGGTAAGGCGGGGGGAAAAGAAAGAGAAAAAGAAAAAGGGAAGAATGGAATCTTGAGTACTGGCAAACATTAGATATCAGTACATAATCTATTATAATAGATTCAAGCATAGCATCTATACATTGTATTCATAAACAAAAATTATATGCACAGAAACTGTTATTACAGAGCTGAGTGGGTACCTAACAGTTTATTGAGTACAGCCATTCCTTGACTAACAACCTAGCTGTTTAACAACTGGACTTACAGCCCACCACTCGGACTTTCAACCTGTCATTCTTTTTTGAACAGTGTTCACCTTTTTTATAGAGCCTCAGTGTCTTTTTCTTGCGCAGAACACCTTGTTGATAGTGCTGTTATTCTGCAAAGTGTACCATGCAGTACAGTACTATAGTTTTATGTTCTGCTTTACCTCACAGTACTATATGTAAGAATTATGCAAATAAATGCAATGTCATGGAGTTGGAATTTCCTTTGTTCTGAATAGTGTAATGTACATATTATGGACAATTCCTCATTTATCAACCAATCCAGCTGACAACCTAGTTGTTACTTATTTACTCTGGTACAATTGTGGGGGTTGAAAGTGAATTTTGTTTTCATTTAAGTGGAAGCCAGTGTTTACCAACGATAAGATCACTTTCTCAGGAGGTGAATGTTGTTGTACAAATTGTTGAGCAATGGGGTAAAAGGTCCAATGATATTTCTTTTTCGAATTTCTGAAATGTTCTGATTTCACACCTGAACTTGATGTAGCTCCTTCTGACCTTGACCTGTGCTTCCTCCCTCGGACCAATAGCACCTTTCCCAAGGCTTCCTGGGACAAATACCACATGCAGCTTCTGATTAGCTTAAGCTGATTAGTGGTGCCATCAACATAATCAGAGACATGTCTGAGCCTTGAATCTGGGGGAAAATAATTTATGGAACTGAAAAAGTTGAAATAGTTATACCTTGCTAAGTAGAATATAATTTGAAATGTCCAAATAAACTTGAAGTCAGTATAATAGAGTTATCCAAAAACTTAAGTCACATTTGCACACTTAAATTTTGTTTTATGGAATTTTAAATATTATTTTTATGTTTCCATGTGTCTCTTTATGATGTCTGTGTTTTAAGATCACAAACCACTCCTCGCGTTCTGGTTTAACAAGGAAAGTATTTTCACATTCAAGATTTACAAGGCACTGGGGCATTTTGACTTTTTTATTCTAGCAACCAACCATGAGCCTGACCAAGAATGGGAACAGTGGAAATACTACAGCTCAAGAGAGTCTCTGGTTTAAATTATTTAACACATGGTTCTGACAATCAAAAAATCTGACTCAGAAAAGATGTCAGCAGCGTATTTGAGTACAGAAAGCAAGAAACACTCGCCTCCTCCGCGGTCAGAAGGACACACTGTCTTTTCCTTACAAATCACTTACCTTCTCAACTCTGAAGAGTCCCAGACACATTCTTTAACCACCGTGAATTGACGGGGCTTGAGTCTGCCTGAGACCTCAGTGTTCCTAACCTTTTGAGTGACTTCAGGAAACCCTGAAGCAGAAAATAGTGTCACCCTGGGATTGCTGCGGGGGTGGACAGAGGAGAACAAGAATGCTTTGGTTGCTTGGTCTCTGTCCCTGACTATATACCGGTCATTCTTAAGAAATACTTTCTCACTTGGAATTCCAAGAAATGCCTCCACAACCGTGCTAGAATTTTGTCCTTATATGCATGGATGTTCTAACCTACTGAAATCAGAAAATGTCTAGATGTAGCCTGAAATCCCTTTCAGAAATGCTGCCACCGTGTGGCACTTCGCAGCTATGACAGAAGAGCTCGGGGAGGGTCACGGTTCTCAAGACCAAGGCTCCAGTGAAGTCTATTGCCAAACTCAATCCACACTGAGTCATTCCCGTGGGCACAAGGCAAACGACAGCAAAGGCTCTGGAAACCTTGTTTTTAGACCTCGTGGGCTTCACTCTACTAAATTAAAAGCATGACGAGCTTATGTGGGTAATGAGTTTAAAGGGAAAAGAACGGTTTTCAAGACAGAAGTCAGCGTTGCATTTTTACAACTTGGGTATTTTAAATTTTAGAGAGTTGGGTTCGATTTAAATACAGTGTGTGCTAATACTACACATCAGTAATACCAGTTCATTTGGATTGCGTGCAACTCAAAAGAGACAAATCCCCCCGACCTGTTTCATAAAACATATGGATTAACTAAACTACCAACAATGTAGGGAATCATTTACACTGTATCTATACTAAAAGCAATATTTGGCAAATAGGACTGACACCTTAGAACTAGTATAAGAGGGGACCAATTATCTGTAATCTTAATTTACGCATAAGTCTTACAATGCAGGTGTAAGGTGAACGAATAATGTGATACCCATTTCATAACTAAAGAAGGTAAATGAAGCGGGTAAGAAATCTTAAGGTAATATCAAATATTTAAGATAGATCTAGAGCTCTGCAATCCCTGAATTCTGCTGTGATACTCAGACTCCGTCTGTAATTTTTCTCTCACTTACATACCTTTTAAATACTCGGTGAAGGGATTCTTTTGTAGACATCAACTTTCTTCCCAGTGAGTAACTTATATATCCTTGGAAAGAAACCAGAAAAAGACAATTCAAAAATAGAGCCTGCTCCTTTGGAGGTGTGAATTACTCTTTAATATTCACAATTTAAAGATCTTACATGTCCTTCCTCACTATAACCTATTCTGTGTAAGGATGCAACAAATCATGATTATCTGCTCCCCTAAAAACCTCAACAGCAGTTAATACACAAGTACAGTCCATAAACTACTCAGGGTATTTGCATCTAATACTGCATGTGCCAAGTATTTATTGTTTTCTGTATATAATTCACTTAAGCTTCTGGACAACCCTGCGGGCTAGCTAATGAGATCTGCATTTTACAGATGAGAAAATGAGTGCAGACAGTTTACGCGATGTGCCCAAGGTCACACAGGTCGGTAATGACAGCAGGACTGAGAGCCAAGGTCTGATTCTGGAAGCTTTGCCCTCCAGCAGGCCTCCTGCTCTTAGCTAGAAACTGCTTTCTGCCTCTGCAGCTTCTAAACTACCATCCTCCTGTTTTATACAGCTGAACAGTGCACAGGTAGAAGGCTCTGATTCATCACCTCTGAGCAACTGAAACAGTGCCAGGCAGATCCTTGTCTTTGAAAGGTCCGTGGAACATCAGCTGAACAGGCAGGGACAGGAGCCGCAAGGTCACTAATGCCGTTTGTCTAAACAGCAAGCGGCCATAGACTTGGAATCACAAAACCGAGCTGCCGAACAGCCAAGGAGACAGGGAGGTTTGTGAACTCATTGTGCGCCTGAACAATAGTCTTCTAGTCCTCAGAACACACGGCCGCAGAAGCGGATGTGGCTGCAGATATGGCTTTTATCTCAACTTGGACAGAAAAGAAATTCATCTTATTTAATTGTGTTAGGGCTGCTTTACGTTAATAGTTTTCTCCTAACCAGAAAAGACAGCTGAAACCTTGGTGAGAATGATAAGCTTTCTTCTGGTTCCTTATGGAGCCCCTAAGTGCTCCTCAAGGATGCTGAGTGCTCACCTCATCCATGAAAAAGCTAGTTAGTGATACTGTACATAAGGAATGTTTTAACTGTAGAGTGAGTGAGTGTGTGTGTGTGTGTGTGTGTGTGTGTGTGTGTGCCTTTGGGGCTATTTTTTCTCTTCAACCACAAAACCAGAGAGGGAAGTGTGGGAGAAGGTGGGCTGGGCATGGCAGAAACCTCATGACTTTGTCCCCGCCTCCCTGTGCTGGTGGAGGCGTCTGGAGCAGCATTTAAATTCCGCAGGCCTGGCCTGTCAGCAGCAGCAAGAGGAAGCAGGAGCATAGCATCTTCTGGCACCAGACTCCTGGGCAGCCGCAGCCTTCTCCACCAGAAGCCAGCAGAGGTAAGCACACCCTTCTCTGCCCTGCCGCTGACACCCTCAGCTGGCTCTCAGGGGGAGGTCCAAGCTGTAAGGAAAAGAACTTCCACTGTAGAGCTGTTAGACTTGAATTGTGACAGTCGTGAGTAAGCAGGTCGGACGCAGCGCAGCTCTCCTGGATCATAGGTTTCTAGATATTCTGAAACCAGTCAAATGTAAAACTTACAAATACGTCCACTGGGTCCTAAAGAACTAAAACTACTGCTTCTGATCAGAAAAAGGTAAAATTCTTTGAAGTGATCATTCCTGCATAATTTTCAATGTCTATATGATTGTGGAGGCAATAGAAAGGATCTCTTGTGCTAAAGTAAACCAGTGATGATGTTATTTTTTGAATGTCATAATTTATCTCATGTTTAATGGGGAAAAGCCCTTTCTGAATACAGTATCTTACTTCTGGAGTTAGCTATTAAAATGCTAACCAAATAGCTGTGTCACGCTGCCTAGGCTCATTATCACAAAGAGGAAAGCTATAGACTATTTTCAATGTTCTCTTTTTCTTTTAAAATTTCTAGAGTACCTTACTTAAATAACCAACTTCCAAGATAACTTTATTTTACCTAATAACCATCCTCTTGATTTTAGGTAAAAATCATGTCTGAAATGCATGTTGGAAAAAGGAAGAAGGCAAATTTCTTTCATAGTTTAATTTTCTCCATGTGGTTTTCTTCCCTGAAAAATAAGACCCCTCACACAAGTTTATTTTAATTATTAAAATTGCTGTTGACTTGTTTTAGAACAGCCGGTGATAGCAGACAATAGTGGGTCCTCTAAATTTTAGTCAGTAAGTACAGACTTATTAAAATTCCCCTCTCCTTTCTTAGCAAAGATGGAAGGAGGAGTAGCAATACAAATATTAACTTAAAATACCAAAAAGTTAAAAAGAAAAGTTGTTTTTTTTTTTGTTTTTTTTTTTTGTTTTTTCTAAGAAGTAGACGTGATTCCACAGAACATTTGTTACTTGTGATTCTTCTGAGATGCGGCATATAGGAACGGCATGTTTTAACCTCTGAGGGTGACAGATGTTCCTTACAAATGTTTTTCAGGTAAAATCACCACCATGAAGATTGCTGTGATTTGCTTTTGCCTCTTCGGCATCGCCTACTCCCTCCCAGTGAGTACAGCTGAATCGTAACAAAAGCTCTTGAAAATAAATGATTTGCGTGTGGGGAACACATTCACATTATAATTTTTCTTCATCTTTCCTATTTCAAAGGTTAAGCAGGCTGATTCTGGCAGCTCTGAGGAAAAGCCGGTAAGCATCTTTTAGGTTCACCAGACAGTTAAAATTATTTCTGTATCTATTGCAAGAGGTGCTATAAAAATTTGTTGTAATTTTAATTATCTGTCACAATAAGCCCTGTTAATTTCTAAGTATTTATTGATTGCCTGCTATAGATCTATGATAGTATCAAATACAGTATAGTTTTTCATAAATATATTCTTTTAAAGTCAAATTCTGTGTGTGTATGTGTGTGTGTGTGTGTTTTACAGGGGATTGAATACAGGTCATTCACACTGAGCTACATCTCCACACCTTTTGTGCTTTTTATTTTGAGACAGGGTCTTGCTAAGTCTCTAAGTTGCCCAGGCTGAGCTCAAACTTGCAGTCCTCCTGCCTCAGCCTCCCAGAGTTCTGGGATTATAGGCATGCATCACCAAGCCCACTTGTAATCTTTTAATATAGTAAAATAATGTCCCAGTTCATTGTCGCTTACCTAAAATGAGTTATATGAATTTGAGCGACTTTTTCTTTCCATGAACCAACATGCTGCTTTCAAAGCAAAAATTTCATCCTCTGATGTATTTAGAGAAAAGCTGAGTTTAAAGTACACCTCAGCTGCTGGTCAGAACCGCTTGTATAACCATAATGCTCACAATATCGCCTAAGATATTTGCTAAGAAGCCCATTGTGAAAAAGCAGTCTATGCTGTTTGCATCTATTGTGCTTGTCAGCTGACTTGAGGTCACATTTTCCTAACCAAGCATAAGACCAAACCAAACTCTTTATCACAATTATTCCAGCAGCACCATAGATGTACCTGCCCCTCCACCATAGATGAAACAGGGCCAGCCACACAACAAATGGGCCTTGTCCCTAGAGCTTAGACAAAAAGGCACACAGAGTTCAACTCCAGAGGCACAGAATAAAGGCCAGTCTAGCACTGCCTGGGGTTGCAGCAATGAGACTGCTTAAAATGAAACAGCAAGAGAGGTGTTCCTGGAACGTGTGTGTGACCTTCGTGTCTCTGGTGCGGGCAGGGGCGTGTGTCTGTTTTCCAATTGATTTGAAACACAGGTGTTGAATCACAATAACAAGCCAGAAAAAATAGCATTCTCAGAGAAGATAGGGGCCCCAGTAGCAGGAAGAATGAGTGCTACTTAAAAGGAATAAAATACAGCAATGCACTTTGCGTGTATTTCTATCAGTCCACGTTCGCAGTACAAAATGTTTCCGAGTGTAAGCTGGTACCTGGACATCACTCATCTTAATTCCTTTTTTCATCCCCTTTCCCTCCCCTCCTTCCCCCTCTCTCCATGTCTTTTTCCCCCTCTCCTATGAGAGAGATCCATCTCCCTACTTTGTATTATCTATCTTTTATTTTGCTCTTTATTTATACTTTGGGTTTCTTAAAAGGCACAAGAAGCGGTGATACAGTAAAGGTCATTCCGTGATACTAGGAGATATATGCAGAGCTCAAGGCTCGCCCTTCTAGCACCCCAGAGATTTAGAGCACTAGGAAATCTGTTAAAGTCTAGGATACACAGCTGAGGATGAGCTGTGGTCTGCTGGGATTCCTGAAAATGTTTCACTCTGTTCATTTCGCTTGTCTACATTGTCTTCATGTTACTTTTAAGTTAGAAGTTTAACCTAGAAATGCTGTCTTCATGAGCCTGCCTTCCATGTGCTCCCCGGAGAGGCAGCCGGGAGAAAAGGGCTGAGCCTCACTGCCTGCTCCCAAGCCCACCCCGTGTCCCGCTGGGGCAGCTGTGGAAGGGACTGTGTGGACCTGCTAGGATGCTAGTGCTCAGTGACCAGGGTAGGACATGATTGGCTCAGACAGTGTACCTAACAGATGGTATTAATTCAGAGCCATCTCCACCTCTCCATGTGAGCACACGAGCATTTTCCGGTAAATTAACCTAGTAAACAAAGGCCGCTGTGTTTCTGTCTACAGCACCATCGTGCATAGAACTTCTGTGCCATGATGCTGATGCTGTATTTCTCCCTGTCTGGGGCCACAGCCACTGGACAGAGGTGGCAGAAGAGGACGCACAACATCACCAGTGCTGCTGAGGAACTTGATTTTGTTAATTTTAATTACCTTACATTTAAATAGCTGCATGTGGCTCGGGGCACCATAGTAGACAGCACAGCTGTAGAGCTCCTCTTTGTTCCATGGAGAGGGGAAGGTGCTTCCTGCACTGAGAGGAAAGTTCAGCCAGCAAAGGTAGAGCAAGAAAGCAGTGTGAGAATCTGAGTAGAGGGCCGGGGCGCTCAGGTTTGAACCCTGGCTGTGTCACTTGTCAGCAATTAAGTATACCAAGGCTGTGCTTCCTGACCAGTACGATGGGGAACATGCTGATACCTGTCCCACTCAGGGGTACGACTAATGCTTGTAAAATGCCTCAGAATTCCTGGTCCACAGTAAGTGCTATTAACAGTTCAGTAAATGAACCTAAAGATAAGCTAAATGATCAAAGAGGTTCTAAAGTCCTGGCATTTGGTGCTTTGCAGCAGCACTGCCAAAATATACTTGTTTTTCCAGCTTATAGCTTTGAGATCCCTGTTTCTTTTCTTAAAAGTGACAAATATGTGACTTTTTTTTCTGTAGCTCTACAACAAACTCCCAGAAGCTATGTCCTCATGGTTAAAGTCTGACCCATCCCAGAAGGAGAATCTCCTAGCACCACAGGTATTTTCAGGGTTTTGGGGTTTTTGGGGTTTTTTTTTTTTTTTGTCTTTTTTGAGACAGGGTCTCGCTATATAGTTCAGGCTGGACTTGAGCTCACTTTGTAGCCCAGGCTGGTCTTGAACTCACAATGATCCTCCCGTCTCAGCTTCCCAAGTGCTGGGTTTTCAAGTTTCTTAAAACAAAACCACCACAATAGATTACCATGCAGACCATCCCAATTGGTTATGTGGACCCTTCCTACCTCTTGGTAAATGTGTTTACAGCACCAGTAGATCCGCTTTGTGGGCTTTTCCCTTATTAAGTCAAAAAATAAGATCAGCTTTGGATTTAAAAGACACACTTTGGAACAGAAACTGCGCATGTACGATGTGTGCTAATGGGGTCCTTCCTTTTTCAGGATGCCGTGTCATCTGAAGAAACTGATGACTTGAAACAAGAGGTATATTCCTACTTTCCTTCAAAGAGTCACCAGGGAGAAAGCTATTGCTTGGGCTCTCTTCTGATGAAATTCCATTAGCGAGTTTTCCAACTAATTGTCAGTCTAAAACTTGCTGTACTTACTAAATGTCAGAAATACAAGGCTTGTTTGGATAAGTTTAGTGTTGTAGTAAACGTCTACTGATGCCTGCTATTTGAAACATTAAGATTCTTACAATTCATGTAAGATATTTTCAAAACATCTAATATCTTCTAAGCATATCATTAATCATACAAAGATTTTGACATTAGGGTGTCTTTGTTCTTAACGTAATAATTTAGTAAGTATTATTAGGACCATTAATATATTTGTTGACCAGAGATAAATTTATTTTCTTTAAGATTTAATTTGACTATGTACCTCTAATAAGGAAAATTAGATAAATGACCCATTACATTTGCTCACTTGAAGTTTGATAGAACTTAGTTGATTACTTCAAAAAAAGATTTGAGTTGCAGTGTGTACACACATATACAAAAGCCACATTTTGCTTACTGATAATAATATAGGGAAATGGCTATAGGTTTTGGTACACACAATAAAATATGGGTGTTCTGGTATCTTGAGGATTTTTATTTCAAATAGAAAAATCAATCTCACAAATACGTATCTGTATCTCACAAATAGGTATTCATATCATTAAATTTAGTAAACCTTGGGCCTGGGATATAGCTCAGCAGCACAAGCGCCTGCCTGGCAAGCACAAGGTCTTGATTTTGATTCCCAGTACCTAAATAAATAAATAAATAAATAAATTTAGTAAACCGAATAACGTAGGATGTGCAAAGAAAAACAATATTATTGTATGAATGTTTATACTTATATAGTTCACTTGAAGACATCTATGAAAATGATTTTGATTGGAAACTAAGAACATTTCAGAGTGTTGTTTCACTTATCCTTGTTGTGAAAGGGAAATTAGACGACACTTGCATCCGCTCCCAAAAGCCTCGGATTATACTGTGAATGCAAAGATTGTGAAACTAAACAAAACAAAGAGAGTAAAAGCCTAAGGCGGCATAAAAGATAAGGGAAAGTAAAAACACACACACTAATTTGTGGTCATCCTGATCGTCAGACCCTCCCGAGTAACTCCAATGAAAGCCACGACCACATGGACGATGTGGATGATGACGATGATGGAGACCAGGACACCGCTGACTCCGCTGACACGGATGACGCTGACGATTCTCACCATTCCGACGAGTCTGACCACTCTGACGAGTCTGACGAAGTGGTCACTGAGGCTCCCACTAACGGTCCAGAAACCCCCGTTTTCACTCCCATCGTCCCCACTGTAGAAACATACGATGGTCGTGGCGATAGTCTAGCTTACCGTCTGAGGTCAAGGTCTACAAAGCTCCACATTTCTGATGCCCAGGTAAATCCCTTAGCAAACGTACCCAGGGGTTATGACTAGAGCTGGATTCTAGGAAACCAGTCTTCACTCTCATTCGTCATTCAGCATCCAGGCAGGCATTTATTAGCCATCTACTTTACCACCACTAACTACAAAAGCTGGGTCTAGCTGTTTTTGTGTGAGTCCATATAATTTCTTCCTAATCTTATCTCTCAAACAGAATTCTATTTTTCAAGCCCTGACTCTAAAGCATTTGTTTTACTTACAGTCTTACAGAAAAGGGCCGGGGGTGTGGCTCAGAGGGACAGCTCTTCCCTTGCATGCACAAGGCCGTGGGTTTGATCCCTTACCCTACCAAACAAAAACAAACAAAACAATTTTACAGAAAAAAAAAAACAAAAGAGATTTGACAAAACACCAGTTATTTGCAAAGTAGGATGGTCACACTTGGAAGCTAAATACCTAGGAGGATTTGTAGAGTCGTAAACTATTCTGCACCTAGAGGGAGAGGATCTGGGTTCCACCCAGTCTTGCTGTTTTCTACCCACTTCACACTTTAACTTTTAATTTATTTTCTCTTTATGTAACTCAGAGATAAGGAGATCTACCTCATAGTTTTCATTACATGTAAAAAGTAATATACATACTAAGCTAGACAATTTATACAAAAAGGATTGGTTAAGTACAAAATACTGCACATGCTGCTGCTGTTTTTTTCTTCAGCCAAATTTAGACAATATTCAGTATGATTTGGCCTAAAAGTTAGAGATTTAAAAAGAAGTGTAATTTCCCCATTGCTCGTTGTTCATGTAACTAACGCTTCTCCCACTTTGTTCAGGACCCGGATGCTACAGACGAGGACCTCACCTCACACGTGGAGAGCCAGGAGTCCAGCGATGCACACAAGGCTGTCCTTGTTGCCCAGCGCCTGAATGTGCCCTCTGACTGGGACAGCCATGGCAAGGACAGTCATGAGTCCAGTCAGCTGGATGACCCGAGCGTGGAGACCCATAGCCAGGAGCAGTCCAAAGAGCACAAGCGGAAGGCCCGAGACAATAGCAGCGAGCACTCTGATCAGATCGACAGTCAGGAAAGTGCCAGAGCCAGCCAGGAACTGCACAGCCAGGAGTTCCACAGCCACGAAGATCCCCAGAGTAGGGAGGAAGGTGAACACCTCAAAATGCGCGTTTCTCATGAGTTAGATAGTGCATCCTCTGAGGCCAATTAAAAAGAGGAAAGAAAGTACAATTTCTTACTTCGCTTTTAGTAAGAAGAAAAAAAATTCATTGTAGAGGATTAAGAAAGAATATGAAATGCTTACTTAGCAGGTGAATGTATATGTGTGTGGCTTTGGAAATTAATGTTTTCAATCATTAGTTCAGTGTGTTGCTTCATGGTAATACCCTTGTAGCCTAAAACATTAGCATTGTGTCTGTTCTTTCCATAGAAGAAACGCAAGCCATCACTGCATTTTAATGTTTGCTATTCTTTTATGAATAGAAATGTATGTAGAGGCAGACAAAATACTTTTACACACTTATAAAACAGACTATAACATTTTATGTCACTATAATCTTTTGTTTGTTAAATTAGTGTATATTTTGTTCTGATTATTTTGTTGATGTGAATAAAATCTGGAATGTAACAAATTTGGTGGTACCTATTTCATTTCTCTTTTAGCGTCTCATATGCTACGGTTTAAATGTGGGGTGTCCCCCAAAGGCCTCCTATGCTTAGAGGTGGAGGTTTGCAAGGTGATTGGATCATGGGGCACTGTGCTTGTCAGTGGATTAATCCAGAGATCCGTTCAGATCTGACTGTGCTGTTGGAAGGTGAGGTCTGGCTGGAGGTCTCATTGGAGATATCACCTGGATAAGCATATTCCCCTTTCTCACTCTACTTCCTGTCTATCATGATATGAACAGCTTTCCTCTGCCACATCCCTCTGCCTTGCCTGTCAGTCATGGACTGAAACTTGTGAGCATGTGAGCCAGAACAAACCTGTGCTCCTCTGAGTTATGGGTGTCAGGTATTTTAGCCTAGTTAGGAGAACTTACCTAAAACACCATAGTTATGTTGCAAAGAGCCAAGTGTTACCATTACAACCAAGAGGTTGGACTTAGCAGAGACCATGTAGTGTGTGCAGGAGCCAGTCCACAGTCTCTAGCTGAGCTAAAGTTCTCCGTGGATGAGACAAGGGTTAAGTGGGAGCTGGTATTTGGCTAGAGCTCCTCTAGCCACTTAGGCTTAGAGGGATGCCTTTTTCTAATTTTCACATGGCTATTATAAAAACCAGTGAAAACCTAGATGCAATCACAAATCCATTTCATTGTTTCTCATCACTGCCCATTATCTTGTTCAGTAAACTTGTGGGTTTCCCACCCTTCAGTAAACTTGTGGGTTTCCCACCCGTCCTATAGCTGCTCTGCTCACTCTCAGATAAGAAACTAGTTGTCCTTTTGTAATAGAAAAAAATTAAATGCCTCAGGTGATAAAATACTCATAGAGACCCAAACATTCTAGAAGATTTAAGTTGAACAATCTTCAATCCCTTGTCTTATTCTTCTGCTCTTTCTAGACACACCTTTTAGAAGTCTCTATTTTCCCTCATGAAAACTTAAGGTTACAAGGAGAATTTATAACTTTAAATTCCTGCAAAAACAAAAATAAATAAGTAAAAGAATAAAAGTAAATAAATTGAATCTCCACCTTAAAAATTAGAAAAGAGCTATAAAGTAAAGAAAAACAAAATGGAAGGAAATAACATCAGCAACAAAATAGATAAACCACAACTAATTAGTGAAGGAAAAGGGTAGAAAGATTTCTTTTATAAATCATAAAATAAAAACAAGGAAATTGCTAGTGAAACTTAGGACACATTAAAGATTAATAAAGACTACTTTGCACTGTTCTATCCAAATTAAATGGAAAATTTGGAGCCTTTTCTTAGAAAATGTAATACACATGCTCCTTGATTTATGATGGGATTACATTCAGATATATCCGTTGTCAGTTGAAAACATTGTTAGGTCCAAATGCATTCAATACACCTAACATCAAACGTCACAGCTTAGCAATACAGTACACTGCAGTCAGTCGTTCCCTCCTGACCATGTGGCTGACTGGTTTCTGTGGTACCTGCACTGCCCAGCTTCAGGAGAGAGTGTGGTACTATCCGTGACCATCATGGCAAGAGCTGAAAATTCACACCATGAGCTCCATCGTACTCTGCAGCATGTTCATATCATTGTGGAGTACAAAAGACATAAGTCAAACCTCAGTAAATCAGGAAACTTGTAGGGAAATTGTAAAATGTAACATAGCCTGTGACAAATTTCATCATTCTCCTTAATTTTATAAAATGAAAAAGAATGGGGGTACTTCCTTAACATGGTGAAATATTTTATACTTTCGTCCCCAAGTCAGCCTCATACTTAATGGATAGACATTAGAAGCATTCCCATTAAGATCAAACACGAAGCAAGCATGTCCTCTATCTCCACTATTTTAGAACCATGTAGAGATTAAAAACTAATGATAGTAAGATTTTTAAAATACCCTTTTAGGCACATAAGTCTTGGAGAATAATTAAATTACATGTGAATGATGTAGTATTATATTTGGCAAACAGAGAATCAATAGTGCAAATGACAAATACTAAATCTGATAAAGTGCTAGCATATAAAATTTACATAAAACACTAAAAACTGTGGCTATTTAGAAATATATATTCTCAATATTGAAACAAAAACTGAAATATTTGACAGGACATGAGCAAAAATTGTACTAGGAAAGCTGTAAAACACTCTTATAGCCAAGAAAGAAGACTTGAACAAATAGAAAAATAGAATTTGTTTTTGCAAGGCACTATTCAACACCATAAAGATGCCAGTTCTCCCCTAAGTAATATATGCATGTAATAGTATTCCAATAAAAAAAATAAACATTCCCTGGAACTACAGAAGCTAATTCTAAAATTCATATGTAAAAATAAGTATTGAAGAGTATGAAGGGATATCAAAAAAAAAAAAAAAAAGAACCAGCAATAAGGCAGGACTAGCCCTAATGAATATCAAAACCAATAGAAACAAAAACTCTTTAATAAAAACATTATGGTACTGGTACATGAATGGACAGACCTGCAGAGGGGAGCCGTGAGTCCAGTAGTAGTTCCAAGTACATGTGGAAGTCACTGGCACACATCTAAGAGCACTCGGGAAGCCAGGTGTGGTGGTGCACACCTGTAATCCCAGCACTCAGGAGGCTGAGGCAGAAGGATTGTTGTGAGTTTGAGACCAGCCTGAGCTACAAAGTGAGCTCAAGGCCAGCCTGAACAGCATAGCAAGACCCTGTCTCAAAAAGACAAAAAAAATTAATAATAATAAGAGCACTCAGGGAAAGATGAACTTTGTAATAAATGATGTAGAGTGACTTGATATCCATCTGGACAAAGACAAAATTCCATCTGGATTTTATGCCATACATCCAAATAACCTCCAAATAGACCATAAGGGAAACTATCAAAATATTAGACCAATACATGTGTGAGTTACGTAAAATCTGGATATCTAGAAGGCTCTCCTGATAGAAGAGACGCTCCCCACCACCGACCCTGTAGACACCATTGGTTAAGTGCAGTGGCCCTGTGGACTCCCAATACACTGCTTCAGGAGGCTCGTCTTCACAAGGTGGTAGGTTAATTGTGTTGTCCCCACATGCCATAGAGTACAGGCATCTCATTTTCCACTGTCCAGCAGCTCAGCAATGTATTTAAATCCAAGGATGTGACTAAGTTAAACCTAAAATTTCATCTTTGAACTGTGGTATCATTCAAACACCATCCTTGAACCACTTCTCCATCCAGCTGAGTTCATTTAGCAGATAGAAAACACACCAGTAATTGAGCAGGGAAACTGATGTAAAGCATTATCAGCTAGCAATGGGGTTAATGAGAGAGAATAAACGACAACTCCGACAATGCCATAGGATTCAAAGTATCCAAATAAGGAATAGTTTGCAAAGAGGTGCCCTGTTCTCAAAACTCAGGCTCATGCTTCACTGGGAAGGGTGCAGCTTTTGCCCAGGGAATGGCAGAGAAGTTTGTTGTGTTACTCTGGGTGAGGTGGGCTGAAGTTAGCAGTCAGGCTGACAAGCAGGAAACCATGGGAAGAGACTGCTGAGCAGGAAACAAGCTAAAGAGTAAGCAGCAAACACAAAATCCACCGGGTGTGTGTACAATGCAGGCAACCTTGACTTAGGAGCAAGGAGCTGAGCAGGCTGAAAGGGCTTCTGCAGTGTCCCTCCAGCGCCCTCTGCTGACAGAGCTCACTCGTGCCAGCTGGCCAACGGAACCAGGTTTGCAGGGTTCCCCTATGGGACCATAAGGCAGCCAGAGGCCACGGGTTTGCAGCAGGGAGGCAGTAAATTTAGAGCTGGATAGGCTCATCAGAAAAAGACTAACATTTAGTGTACAAAAGGAGTCTGGGACATATTTTTATGATAGAATGAAAACAAGCACTCAGGGGCTGGGGATTTAGCTCAGCGGCACAGCGCCTGCCTGGCAAGAGTGAGGTCGTGAGTTTGATTCCTGGCTCCAGGGGAAAAAAAAAAGAAATAAAACAAGCACTCAAAAACAAAATAAGGACACTTCCCCAGGACCAAAGACCAAACCTGAAGAGTGCTTCTATTGGCCAAAAGTGGGCCAATGAGAAAACAATAAAGTGCTCACTTCAGCAGCACATGAACTAAAACCTGAACGATACAGAGAGGATGGGCATAGTCCTTGCTTAAGGATAACGTGCACATGTGTGAAGCATTTCCTATTTTTTCAGAATTTGAATGACAGAGTCAAAAAGAATATGGAAGCCTGTAAAAGATGTTAAACAGAAATGCCTGAAATAAAAAACTGTATAGAATTCATACACTGTAGAAATGACCAATAAGAAGACATAGTGTTTGACATTGAGGACAAAATATGAATGATGATAAAGAGCTCAAGGAGCCAAAAGGAAAATAAGAGAACGAGAGAAGAAGACCAATCTAAGCCTAATTGGAGCTGGAGAAAGACTAGAAGATGGCACAGATGGATTTACTAAGGTGCCTGCAGAAATCATAGAAGAAAATTTCCCAAATGTAAGAAAAGAATTTAAAATACAAGTAAGTGATAGAACACCAAACAAATATGAAAAAAGAAGTTCACCAAGGCATATCCTCATTAAATTACCAGGTATCCAGGAAAAAAAAAAAAAAAAACAACAGAATTTTTAAAGCAGCCAGAGAAAAACAAAAAAAAATCACATAAAAGGGTAAAGCAATTAGAAGCACAATGGACTTCTCAACACAAACCATAAGGGCCAGAAGAGCTTGGGGTGAGGTAGTTCAAGGGCTAAGAGCAAATAATTTCCAACCAGGATTAACTTATCCAGCAAAGGTATTCTTGAAAATAGATGGTTAAACAAGGTATTTCTGTGAAAAAAGCTATATGAGTGCTAAACCAGTTATAAAGAAAATACTTAAAAAATACCCTTGAATGAGTAACAAATCAGACCCAGCTAAAAATGGAGAGGAAATTAGTGAGCTCAGTGGATAAACAGTAACAAAAAACATAAGGAAAAGAAAAGCAAAAGCAGATAAAGGAGGCAATGATAGT